GCCTGTGTCAACAAGCCAGCTGCCTTCTTGCGAAGGTCTTCTGATGGGTCCTGATCCAAACAATGGTGTCAACAAATGTCATTTGACATTTCACAGAAATACAAAGAATGGGTTTGCTTTCGGCCTTAGTTTTGGATTTTGCCTGCAGAATCCTCTCCAAAGAACCATCCGCAGCTGCCTGTCCAGAAAAAGTCTTTTATTATATATTACATATGGGTGAAAAGGTATCACCCTGAGATATGTTTTGAGATGAGCGAGCATGATTGAATTCCCAAATGTCGTCACAGTAACACTTCCACAAAGAACAAAAGCGAAACTTTCGACCAGGACAACAAAGAGCAATCAAGAGTTTGTGCATGCAGCTTCACGACTGCTCGTGCACAATACTTCCTACTTGCTTGAAAAACAAACAAAAGTAATACTGTAACACTGACATCCAGGCCCAATTTGTCAGGCACTAGTTTCTCTGATGTGTTCTGGTGAAGGTTTGAAGTGAACAAGCAACCTGGTCCAGTTTTATCAATGTATGTATATGTATGTATATGTATGTGTATGTATGTGTATGTGTATGTATGTGTATGTATGTGTATGCATGTGTATGCATGTGTATGTATGTGTATGTATGTGTATGTATGTGTATGTGTATGTGTATGTATGTATGTATGTATGTATTTTTCCTAAAGTTGCATGCTCTTGCCTTTTTTGGCGGTTTGTCATAGGTGTCACTTGGCTCAGAAGAAGTCCACGTCGATGGGGTCATCAGCTGGCGATTCCTCTTCGCCTCCTTCGCCAGTGCTCGTGGCAGTCTCCGGTGCATTGGAGGCTGAACTCGTGAACTTGAGCTTCTTGGGTGGTGACAGTTGTTCTGCGCCTTGTGCCTCTCGCTGGGGCTTGGCCGGTGCTGGTTGCGTCTCAGAGCCTGTGGCGGCTTGTGTGCTTTTGCATTGGGAGCCAAAGATCTGAAGCAGGGTGGGCGAGCTCTGGCTATTGCCTTGGCACTCTTTGCGGAGAGTTTTGGTCAGCACAACCTGCTCTTGACTTTGGGTCCCGCAATTCAAGCACTTCACTCCTTTTCCTTTTTGCCATATGGAGTGTGTTGAGTGTCCCTCATGGCTCTTGGTGTAGGCTTCATCGATGCATCGACTGCGGACAAAACCTTGGAAGTTCTCCTCGTTTGTTCTCTTATGGATCGACAGGTTGCATTTAGTGCACCTCAAGTATCCTGTCGTCTCTTGGAAGTTGTGCTCGTCTGCAACCCTGGGGCGCTGCTGTTGTTGTTCAAGAAGCTGTTTGATGGTGCTGGCTCTGGTGATCTTCTGCCCAACAGGTTTGTTTTGCCGCAGATCAGTTTCTGGTGCCTCATGTGTGAGCAGGTCACATTCTTGCTTTAAGCGTTGCTCAATCTCGACCGTCAGAGCCTGGTGCACTCGTGTGTGGCAGGTGTGGCATTGAAAACCACTTCTG